CAATCAATATAAGCCTCTGTGTGTTTATTTGGGGCTAAACGGTTGTGGAATCAGGTGGGACAGAAACTTCTGTCCACAATTCTTGAGAAACGCAAATTACTGTAGACACTAACTAACTGACTCCATCCCAGCAAGGAATGTACAAAAAAAATCACTAAGTCTTTTCAAGTGTTGTCTGTGTGCCAGACAGGTGCACTAGTTGTAGCCCTGCCTGTGGAGGAAGGCATCTGTTCCCCTGTAATAGATACTCATAGTGTAGAAATACTCATAGTTCATTCACAAACAGTGCTCAGAAGGGCAGGAGTCAGGACTAGAGAATTGGTTTCTCTGATGCCAGGCATGGATTCTTTAACTTCTGTTTCCCAAGGTAGGAGCTCACTTAAGGCATTTGAAGCAAGGTTCAAAGGACCTACTTTTTTATTTTATTTTTATTTTATTCTCACCTAAAGGGGTCCCGAGGGCCTCTGCCTTGTATCCAGGAGACACAGGACAGGTGAAGTGACAAAAGGCATAACTTGTTTCTCTACTCTGCTGACCACTGAGTGTCTTAAGCACACATGACTCCTAATACTTCTGATGCTGGTGGCATCTTTGTTTTGAGGAATTTTCTGCAACACTCTGGCTGTTTATTCCTTCCTACTTAGACAGATAAGGCATCTTTCCTGCCCCATGGTAACTGCCCACGGATATCTTCTTTTCAATGCTTCCTCCCTAGGGGTATGAGGTTTCTTCTCACCTTTTTCTAAAGCCCTAAACACAGCAATCACTTCTCTAAGTCTCCATGGGATTTCCCTGGTGACTTTTTTCCATCTATGTGGCCCTTGCAATGAAGGCAAGGCACATGGCTGCCAAGTGGTACTGAGTGATGAGGAAGGGATATCAGGGACACAGAACTCTTCCTGTCACCTCAATGATGTGTGTTCTGGTTTGGCCCCAGGCCAGATTCATACAGAACACACCTTGCTGCAAAGCGATAACTCTATAGGATAGAGGTGAAAAACCGGAAACCCCATGGGGGGAGGGCATGGCAATGCTTCAGTGACAAGGACAGGCTATTGCCACAGGGCACATTTGTCTTCCTCTTGCTATCTTCCAAATTTAAGAAGTTTTAAACATGAGTAGATTTCCTTCATGTACAGCATTCTTTCCATTTTTTCACTCCAAATCCCTCCAAGGATCTACAGTATGAAGCTCAAGCTGGTGAAGCAGGGAATTCATGGCCCACAGCCTTGGACAATATGACAGAGTATGGTCTCATGGGAACTCAGTCACCACATAATGCCTCTGTTCCTTAGTGTGTGGACCCTGGAACATGAATGTTTAAGAAAACCATCTACCACTGGTATGCAAAATTTTGCTGTTTGTACCTGAGAGAGTCTTAGGAATCTTATTACTCCTTAAGAAGATGTGGGTCTGTGATGGCTGTCAGTGACGTGTTCTCTGTCTAAGCATTCGAACCTGAACATGGATCTTCAGCACCAATGTAAAAGCCGGAGGCAGCACACATGCCTGGAATCCCATCTCTGGGGAGGCAGAGGCAGGAGGATTCCAGAGGTTTCCAGGCTAGCCAGTCTAAGCGAATCCATGAGCTCTAGGTTCAACAAGGAATCTTGTCTCAGAACAGGAAGTGGTGGGCTGAGGAGATGGCTCCAGTGACAAAGTGCTTGCTGGACAAAGCTGAGGACCTCCAGCACTTACCTAAAAGCCAGGTGAATCAGTGCAGACCTGCAACCCTAGCACTGGGGTAGGGAGTAGGGACAGTTGGATCTCAGGGCTTGCCTGGCAGCAGCCAGTGTAGCCAGTGAGGTTCAGTGAGATACTCTGAGGAGAAATAACTGGGAATAGCACCTTCCGGAAACCTCCAGGCCTGGGCACATACCTTCATGAACAATTGCTCCCACAGCATGTGTACACACACACACACACACACACCACACCACACCACACCACACCACACCACACCACACCACACCACACCAAATAAATAAGGTCATATGTCTGGCCACCACTGGCAGTAATTAGGATACAAGGAAGCACTAGGACCCTCCTGAATGTAAGGCTTATGCTAAGCAAGCCACTGATATTTCATGTCTAGGACATGACATTAAAAGCCCACTTAACAGATGGTAAAACTTGGAGAAGTAATTTGCCAAACATGGACCATTAATAGGTATCTGTTATGGTTTGGCTATGAAGTGACTCTCCAAAAGGCACATACAGTGAAGAGTTTGTTCCTAGCTGGCAACGTAATTTGGAGAAGCAGGTCATGGAGAAAGCAGCTTCTTACAGCTATTTCCTCCCCCCATGCCTCTCTCTCTCTCTCTCTCTCTCTCTCTCTCTCTCTCTATCTCTC